AAACTCCCCCTCTAACTCATTTCTTGACAAATCAAGTGATCTTAGAGTGTTCAAAGACCAAATCCCCAAAGGCATAGAACCAGAAAAACTATTTGAGGACAAGTTTAAAGCAGCAAGAGACGAACACGAGCTTATACTAACCGGAATCTTCCCCGTTAGCTTGTTCTTGGCCAGAGACAGAACTCTTAATGACCCACATTGCCTGAAAAACCCATCAGGAAGCGAACCAGACAAGCCATTGCTACTCAAGTCGACAACTTTAAGGTTAACAAGGCTCAGCAGCAAATTAGGGTTAATGATTCCCGTGAGATTGTTGTTGGACAAAGAGAGCTTATGAAGAAACTGGAGCTGAAGTAACCCACGACCAATTCGACCAGAGAGAGAGAAGCCATCTAGGTTTAACTCAGTAACTCGATTCGTTCTCGGATGGCATTTGACTCCGTTCCAGCTGCAAGGAGTGTAGTCATCTTCGTTCCAAGAAGCTAGCTTTTGCTCTGGATCTCGTAAATCGGCTTTGAAGACAATGAGCCCCAAAACGTCGTCGTTTAAAGGTGGGTCTAGAGATCTCACCGGAGCCACCACCGACATCAACAAGACTGAAAAAATCAGTACTTTATACATCTTTACACGATCCTCTTCTCCGTTGTACAGATTTTAGTTGCGGAAGAACTCCATTTTTGAGTATCTAGAGCTGAAATTGGAAAGAAGAAAGTTTATGAATACACAAAAAAAAACAGTAGAGCTCAAAATAAAAGCTGTTTTGTTCGCATTCAGGAGTTAGATTGAGTAGAAGAAAAGAACAAAAGTCTAGCACAACGGCTACATTTCGACCAACGGAGGAAACAAACAAATAACAAGAAGAAAAATCCGGTAAACAAAAGCTAGTTATATGAATAGAAGTAGCTATAGTTTACTTGAAATTCATAGAAATTCAAGAAATATTCAACCTTCAAGTGAATGGTTGAAGTAAATGTTGAGCAAAAAATACTTGAGCTCTTTTAAGTAAACGAGCCATTGGAAGTAGGTTACGATCTGGAAATGAGGAATTCTCACCTGGTTAAGAATTATCTCCGGGAAGCTTTCCGACGAAGAATGTTGCAGCTCAGGGGTAAAAACAACCGGAGGAAAAGAAAGTGAGAGAGCACGAGCTTCTTCTTCTTGTTAGGTTTTGAAGCTTTTAAAGAACAGTGAATTTGGGAAGAAGAGAGAAAAAGCCAATAAAAAAAGAAAAAAGAGAAAGAGAAGAGAGAGAAAATTAAAAGCTGTGCCTTTATCAACGGGCTGGAAAGAAGAGAGTGTGGGGCCCGAGGATGGTGGGTGGACTTATTAATCTCGAAGTTGACACGTGTATTAATTTAGTTGGTTTTGATGAATCCGACTTGGCAGACACGTGGCTTTTTTAATCTTATTATGTGTTGTTAGAGGAAGTGGGAAAATGAATAAATGATTGGCCAACTCATAAAGAAAGGAACCATATATTTAAAATTTACGAAATTGTCCTTCCCAAATAATAGAAACTTTCTTTAATGGGTTTATATGCTTTGTGGCCTCTTGGTTTTGATTCAATTAATTAGAAAATAATCATTCACATAAAATGGAAACAAATTTGGAATGTGGTTGGCTCTGTTATTCTCATGCAGAGAATTGGTATTTTTGGGTAAATTATGCAGAAAGAGACAGTGGTTAAAGTGGTCACCATAGATTTGGTTTTTCATTTTTATCTTTTAATTTCCATTTTCATTTTTATTCTCTATTTTGTTTTTGAAGAAAAAACATTAAAGTAGTTGACAACAAAAAAAACATTAAAGTAAGTTGGTGAGGAATGAGGATGGTGACCTGGGAAAAATATTTTTTTTTTTTTTTTTTTTTTTTTTTTTTTTTTTTTTTTGGGAAAAATATTTTGTGGTGCTTAGAAATCACTTGTTCATTAATAATTGCAACCATAATATTACTATTCATTATTTATGTACAATGTCCTTGTCAATGTATGAAACTTAAAAATTGCACCGAACAATCTAAACTATAGATAACAAAAAAAGAATTACGGGCATTTAATTTTCTTAAAAAAAATTATGGGGTTTTGAAATTGGATCACAAACCTAAGGATTTTGGTTGACTTGGAGGAGCTACAGATGTAAATTTGGGATCTTCTGTTTGTGCAAGGAATCATTCATTATGTGAACTTCTTACAGATTGAAATGCGGTTGAATAACTAAGTGTCAAACACTTATTGCCACAAAATAAAACACTTATTGCCACAAAATAAAACACTTAAAAAACATATAATAGAACAATGGTGATGAAAAAAATAATATAATCCGTTAAGCATGCTCTTGGAATTTTTTAATTGTTGTTTTTCTCGTTTGAGATTTGGTCCGAGTCAAGACATTTTATCAGACTCCGGTCTCTCTCCATACCTATGTTTTAAATTTTTATATTCCTTTTGACAGTAAAAGTTTATTTATTTAACATAAAATGAAAAAAAATAGAAGAAAACGAACTCTTTTTCCCATGGAAGGAAAACAACCCTTCATGGAAATTTTGGAATTTACTATTTGTTTCTATTTGCATTTTAACAAAGAGGCCTTTTTAATGTATTCTAAAAATATAGGGTCAAATTTATACTGTTTTCAAGAGCTTTGAAGGAATTTTTTGGGCAGTGTGAGCCGGACCGTAGAGAATTCACATTTACTCTTCTTCACTTTCCATCTATATTAGTACTAATTTACTCTTTTGTTTGTTTTATAGTTAGTATTTATTTCCACATTCAATTTTTTACTCGAAACTTCCTCTGTCATATCAGGATTGGCATTTAGGACCAGCCATTAGAAGATAAATTTTACTTTCCGGTGTTCCGTAAAATTGATTTGTTCTGCAAATTCCAAATTTTCTTATATTTATTGATTACTATAGTTTCCCTTTTATTCCATGGTAAGTATTAACTTCGCATAAGATGGGTCTAACTCTCCCATTAGAGGCCCATTAAGGAGAAACGATAAATGGGCTCAGATGATAATAAGGCTTATCAACTTCTACAGTCCGGGTGATATTTCAGGAAAGAAAACAAATTGAACTTAGAAATGCGACTCGCAGCTTACAACTACAAGGCCCATGCAAAATTGCAAACAATGCAAGTTGAAAATAATAATATACACCGAACAATATACACCGAACAAAAGCCAATAGATTAAAATTCAAAGACTAAAATGATAATTTATCTTAATTTTCAGAGAATCGTGGGGACTTCGTAACTGAGATTCTGATACAGATTTGTGATCCATTTTGAAATTAAAAAATGATTATAAACTTGCATCTTCATTATTCGCACGATTAGAAAAGCCAAACAAATGGAAAATAAAAATTAAAATTTGGATTTTCGTTATCATCGTACAAGATCACAAAGCACTGTCACTGACATAAAGAGAATCAATATCAAGAACAAAACCACAACTTGTTGTATCTTAAATTATAAGGAAGATAAAATCATATCAAATCACTTCTTGATATATTGTTATCCTATATATCCATATATAAATTTTAAACATAAATATATTGTTCATATATACATTCATTCTCAAATCTTTTTAGTTTGTCAGTTCTCTCTTTTTTTTCTTCATCTGTAAGTTTGTCTGTGTTTTCTTTAGGTTTGAGAATTAAAAGCAGTATAATGTCTATATTAGTGTCTCACTCATCTATTCTCTTCCTATTTGTGTAGTTTTTTGTTCTCAGTTGCTTCACTCATAAGGAACAAAAACGATATCTCTCTCTGTAATCGTAGGAGATGAATAACGGATGTGGAAGTGGAAGTGAGTCTTGTTTATCGTCAATGGAGGAGGAGCTTCATGTTTTAGCAGTAGATGATAATCTAATTGACCGTAAATTCCTTGAAAGAATCCTCAAGATCTCTTCTTGCAAAGGTAACATATCGGTCAATCTTTTTCCTTTTAAATTTCAAGAACCAAGATTCTTATATAGGGTAACATTGCCTCTGAAACGAATTAATTGATTTTACTTATTGTACAGTGACAACAGCAGAAAATGGGCTTAGAGCATTGGAGTACTTAGGCTTGGGAGATCCACAACAGACCAATGTAACTAAGCTCAATGTGTTTATATATCTTCAAGTTATTATATCCTCACTGCACATTTGCACATTTTGAATTGTTTAGAGAGGACCCAATAGTGTAAATCCAACGACTTTTGTGACATATTGGAGGGTTTCTTTTTCAGGTAATGAAGGTGAATCTTATCATCACTGATTATTGTATGCCAGGAATGACAGGTTTTGAGCTTCTTAAGAAAGTGAAGGTGTGTAACAAAATTTCTTACTAATCAAAAGTCTTTTTTGATCAGAAGATCCATAGACTAACAAAATTTCTTTCTTTGTCTCTGTTTCTATGGTGTTTTATTATTGACAGCAGGAATCATCGAATCTAAAGGAAGTACCTGTTGTGATATTGTCTTCAGAGAACATTCCTACTCGCATCAACAAGTAAAATTATCATTCCTCAGACACTTTGCTTTAATTGTTCAGTTTTTTTTTTGGTTTCTTCTTTCTTAGTGGTGAACTAAGATTTTGTTATTTTCTTGATGATATTGCAGATGCTTAGCTAGCGGTGCACAGATGTTTATGCAGAAGCCACTGAAATTATCTGATGTTGAGAAACTGAAATGTCATCTTTTAAACTGCAGAAGCTGAAGATCTGCTTAGATGTAAAAGCTCAGTGTTTAAAAATCTTGATGTATGTTCCTCTCGAAGTGCAAATTGATTCTTCGCAATACAATATAATCTTGCTTACCACAAGAAATGTTCTTTTTGGTCAGAAATCTTAAACCACAAGAAATATAGAATTCAACATTGGCAGTTTAGCTTTTTGGGCCCATTAGGATAACCATAGTGAGTGACTCTTATTAAAAAAAAAACGTATGTGTCAATTTATCTTCCTTTAGCCTTTAGGTATTCAATTGTTTCACCATTATTTTTGATCAGGCAATTATTTCAACATTTTAATCCCAAGTCTTTGCGTGGACTTCCAAGATCGCCTTTTAACGTTGAAAATCTATAAATGTTGAAAAGAAGCCCATGACTTAGTCAATGTGACTGCTTCTTCTTCTATCGTACGTGTTTATCAAAATACTTGCCCTCCAAAAAAAAGTTAAATCAATTGTCGGACGATAGAAAACATATATACACCATCTAACGCTCTAAAACATACTCTCACCTTTCTTAACCAAAATAAAAATAAAAACCTAGTCCTTATCTTCTTTTGTCACATCGATTAAGTATCTAGAAATCAATTACTAACGTGTTTGTTATGGAGCAAAGTTTAGTTTAATTAATCTATGTTTTGCCAATATGTCAACACAAATAAAAAAAACTGAGACGAAAGTCATTATATGATTGGAGATTGTACGTCGCATTCTAAAAAAATTCACAATCTTTGATTTTTTCAAAGTCGAATCGACATAGGATCATATCCAATCTTTCTTTACCTGTCCCTCTTGCTCTATAATATATTTGTAAGTGTGTATATAGATGCATACACAAACAGGTAAGATACCACGAGGTGAAGCAAAAAAAAAAAAAAGGTGTTACATATGTTTGTGTGAATACTTTTTTAATTGAACCACAAAAACAAAATACAATCAAACGATGGAGGAGATAATGTCAATGATATTCAACGGAATCAATCTGGTTAAGGAGCTAGAGTTCAGCTTATCATCACAAGAGTCACCAGAATCAGATTTGTCGAGTTATCTAAGCTCGATCTCCACTCTATTCGGAGACGCCAACGAGCGGCTGAAAATCCTACTTGCGTGGAGGAACTCTTTGGCACAGTACCAGCCTGAACCGGAACCGGTTCCAATGTTTGATATACCGATGCAGAATGATCAGAGTCTGATGCAGGACCACTGGTTTAACTTTAGGTATCCAGTGATGCAGACAGTGGAGGGTAATGCTACCTCAAGACCAAGGCATCAAAGAAGGTAAATACAAACATTTATTAATGTAGATCGTATGTGTGCATGTGTAATTTGTTGTATGTATATATATATATGTAATGTGTATCAGTGTATGTATAGAAAGAAGGATATTGGAGAAGAAGAAACGGTGTTGGCGGCGGTGGAGAGGATCGAGATCCCGCCGGACGACAATTACACTTGGCGTAAATACGGTCAGAAGGAAATTCTCGGTTCTAGATTTCCTCGGTAATGTTCTTTAATTTCTAAAACATAATTACATTTTTTGTATATATTGAACTGAAATACTAATTAGTCTTACACTTTTTTAAAAAGTTTCGACTTGTATTCGGTTTAAAAAATATTAGTTGGATTTTAAAATTATTATTGTCCTATATATCTAGTTACTAGTAATTAGTACTTAATAGTAGTTACTCCAGAGTTAACTTTTTATACTATAAGAAAACCGAAAATTTGTAGGGCGTACTATAGATGCACCCACCAGAAACTATACAAGTGTCCGGCGAAGAAGCAAGTGCAACGGCTCGACGAAGATCCTCACACGTTCCGTATCACTTACCGCAGTTCACACACGTGTCACTCCTTCACCACTTCCCCGATTTCATCATTAGCACCTGCCACCGCAACAACCGCCAACGTTCCCGATGTCGCTAACATGGCCGAAGCTATGTTCGGCAACATGGACTCCGTTGTTCCATTAGGCAAACCCTGCTTTAACCACCATTGCCTCGTGCCCGGAGACGACGGTGATGGGGAGGGGACACATGGAACTCACCTTCGCAGAGATACGACATGTCCTAGTTGATAAGCTTTTAAACTTTAAAATTATTAATTTATTTTTACTTTTGTTTAGTTAAGGTTTAACTGTTTGTTTATCATAGATCTTTCAAATGCCTGTTTAATTATGTTTAGAGATGGGATGAAACACGAAATCCATATATAAGATACTTTTAAGTGGTAGGACTTGGAGTATATTTGCATCTTAATTTTTTGACATATAGTCATATAGAGATTCACAAAAAGATTTGTTACTTTGCGAAACATTTGCTACGATACGGTAGATTAATAGTGACATTGTTTGTCAATAAATAAAAAGTAGAAGTATATGTGAGTATGTGACTATTCTCTCTGTATCAAAAATATTGATTTTATAGAATTTTCACACCAATTAAAAAAAACATTTAATATTTAGTTATAAATGCACTATTTATTCATACTAAACAATTTCTCATACATATTAACCAATAGTAATTCATCAAATTTTAAAATTCTTAATTAGTGATTCTTGAAATTCACAATTTATAAACATTAATTGATAAAAATTTGTTAAAAATCAATTTTTTTGATACAAAAATAAAACCTCAAAACATCATTCTTTATGATACAAATGGAGTATTTGCTATGAAAATACAACCCTTTTTAGTTGTTACGTTTTCATTTTCCATTATTTTCCATACATTTTATATACTATGATGTATATCTCTTCGGTAAAAGTATTGATTGGAATTCATTGCATCTTAATTTCAGGTTTCAAATATGTTTGAGGCATTAATATATGTCGATCCAGCATGAAGATATTCAAAATACAATGATCATCATATCAAAGAGTTTCAGAACCCTTTTTCTTTTTCAGTGTAAGAGCATCTCCAATGCCCACCTCTATATTTTCCTCTATTTTAAAAGGATACATTGGAGCAAAATATCCTCTAAAATATAGTTTCTTTAAAATAGAGAAAAATATAAAAGTGGACATTGGAGATGGTCTAATATACCCTGAGATTTTCAACAGTCTCGGCAAAATTGTTGTTACACACTTTTGCTCTACAAAATAGTTAGATTGAAACAGACGTTAAAGGGTTCTGAAACAAAGTGTTGTTTTTTGTTTTTTACCCTACAAGTCCTTCAAATAAATTTACTTAAATTTTTGTTGTAGATAGGTTCAGAATGTGAGGAGCTTGGGGTTTTTCTTTTGTTGCGTTGCAACCAATGAATCAAAACTAAATTAAAGAGACTGTTTCACTTCTTTCTGTGTCACCTGTATCATGTCTCGTGTCTCATCTGCCTTTTGACCCTTTGTCCAAGGTTTTGTGTTTTTATTTACCAGTACACGACACTTATCCCTAATTATATTTGGACACTTTATAGTGTATTGTTCCTTTTATAATATTTTTTCAAACACTATAATACAAAAAAATAAAGATTAGAAAAGGACCAATTCGGCGAGTTGTACTTTGTACACATATATAGTGGCTACTTGAGATGTTTAAGCCCTTGCGTAAAAGGCAGTGAACAGTTTTCATCTGCATTTTCTCCTATTTTCCTCACTCTCTTTTATTAGCAAAATATGTGTATACTTGTTAAGGAAAAAAAAACATCCTAAACCCTACGTGGTATATATGTACATACTTGTAATTATGTATGTATCATAACGATAAAGTATTTGTTATTGATGCATTAATTAGAGGAGAATGTTGACAAAGAAACAATAATAGAGGGGAATGTTGCTACAAATAGTAACGGCTAAAATCACTCTAGTCGGTAATTAACTAGTTCTGAGTAATATTTAAAAGAAAAGGATTGTGAGGTGGAAAAATCAAAGAGTTGAGAATTAATCTTAAGGGGGGATTATGTTTTAATCCAGCAAGAGTGTTTTTTATACTACTATATGTACAGTACAGACACTCATTAGAGAGAGGCCAAAATATATTATACGTTTTCCACTCTACAAGCCTAATGATTAACTCATAGCCTTAGCCCTATAGTAGTGGTAAACTCAAGATAGATTCGAACATGAACTGAAGATAGAGAAGTGCTCATTTTCGATAAACCCGAAATCGCCGCCAGCTCCAAACACCAAGTGGTCCGGAGAACCCAAATCATTGATAGATGTACTAGTTTCCCCATTGACGTAAATGGCCTGCTGATGATAATCTTCTTCGAAAACCATTTCTGGCCACACCAATGACAACTCATTCTCCGTGGACGAACCATGATGATGATGATTCTCTTCTTCCTCCTTCATTGAGGTCGTCAAACTAGGACTCTTGTGCTCTTCGGAATCCATGAAGATCTCATCATGATGGTCACAAGTCTTGCTCTTGGGTGTTTCTGCGTTGGTGTTACACGTGTGGTTTCCTATGTATGTGATACTGAACATCTTGGGATCGAGCTCCACCTTCTGGACTTGCTTTGTTGCCTTGCACCCTTTAGTGTACTTGTGTGTGCATCTAAAGTAACTCCTGCAAAACATAAATTAAAATAAAAGAATTTAGACCAAAATTTATATGCCACAACCAATTAAGCTCAGACCACATTGATGGTAGATATAATTGCGGTCCATGTGTAATAATACCCCGGCAACATGTCACATATCAGATACGAATATGTGTATAGATATACACACACATCTATATAGGGGTAAAAAGGACCTTGGGAATTTGGCATTAAGAATCTCCTTTTGTCCATATTTCCTCCAAGAAAATGCGTCCTCAAGTATAGTCGATTCTTTAGTCCACGTCTCCGATCTTTTCCTGCTCATAATATTAATGAAATCAATTAATCATTTGGTTCTTTGCCTACTTATGATTCTTGCAACCAAAGCTAAATTTTATTGTTTGTTTGTGACTAACCATAACAGTAATCAAATCCTAGATTATCACTAGATTTATGGTACAAGTGATCAACGTAATCGGTCTAAATAGAACTACGATGGACTGATTATATATCAATATGGTAAATAATTAAATAAGAGAGAGAAAAAAGGTGAAACTTAACTTACTTTCTTTTGTAGCATCCTCTTTTACCCTTAACGGGTCCCAATCTTTTCCGACTATCGCCGGAATCTTCAAACTTGCCGTCGTTGTCGCATGAAGCATTTTGAGAGCCCTCAACGGCGGCGAGGGATGAGAAGGAGGAGGAGATGGGTTCGAAGGTATCAAGAATGGAGATGCTGTTATTGAAAGACCCTAAGATTTTAGCCACTAGATCCTCCGCTGGACCTAGACCGGACCCGGGTTGAGAGACGAGTTGCTGAAGCTGAGTGGTTAACTCGTGGCCTTCAACGAGTTGGTTCATCACTTTAAGCTTTTTTGCTTTATTGGTATCCATTTGTTGATTTTTGAGGAAGTTTTTGGTGGGGAGTTTTTTTTTCTTTTTGTCTTTCCTATTGGTGTGGTTTGAATGATTAAACGAAAGAAGAGAAGTGTGTAAATATAAGGTGGAAAAAAAGATTTGTAATGATGGGCGCTTTTTATTTTGTTGGTTTCTTTGATTTTTTTTTTTTTAGAGGAAGAGAGGAAGAGGGGAGGAAATGAGAAGGAATATAGCGAGATGTCTGAGGAAATGAGATGGAACTTGAACTTATCCACCCATTTCTTTTGCTTATGGTATGACGTAATCTCAAATGACGTAGTGATGAATGATGTCATTTCATCCCTAAGTGAGAATGGAATATACTATGATTTTGCTGAAATCCAAACTTAAGAGTCATTCATTTATAACCGGATAAATTTTGGATCGAAATGTAGACTAATAAAAAAGTTGCGAAAATCCGTTTAAAGTTTACACATATCTTGACTAATGTAGTAAGAATTTAAATAGTGATATAGTCAGTTGAATTATCCGTATCAAATTTGATATCCAAATTATATGATCCATGTTTTTTTTACGAAGTATTTTGAATAGTAGTTGTATAATCAAAAATTAAAAACGACATATATAGGTCCCCCTAAATAGACCTGCCTAGTTCAAATAGTTAACGAGACAAAAAATTACGATCAACCAGTCTCAATTGCTCTTAATTACATAAAATACTTGAATGACTGATATCTATCTAAATTAGATTGATTACGTTGAAAGAATCATATCAATAGAAAGTTAATTGGATCTATAGACTAGTTATGTCTATTTCGCTTTCCAGCAATAAGACTAATTAATTTTTGTTATATAGTTAGACTAGTAAACGTATCACCTCACTTCATTAATATATAAAATATGAAGTATCAAAGCTACACTTTTCTACCCATTTTTTTTTTTCTACAAACCCTATCTTAGAGCATCAGCAGTGGTACATCTCTTTAAGAGATGTTGATAATATATTTATTATTATTTTTTTTTAAGAGAGAGAGATTTGGTTATTAGTGGAGAAAAACAGAGGAGAGAGTGAGAGATAGATTTTGTCACGTGGGACTTACAACCGGGGTGTAAGTTCACACCCTTATTTCGATTCTCAAACAACTTTTGCAATAAAACATGTTATTTTATTACTTACACCTGTGTATCGAGTACGCCATTGCGTATGGTCTTACAGTATTATACTTAAATTCTATTATAGTAACAACACAAATCTATTGTTGAAAAGTATTTTCTTTCCCTCGGAATCACTTTATTCCATTTTCGTGGAAAAGGTATAGTTGGGCATCTTAGATTTTTTTATATCTGTAATTATAGGTATAGCTAGTTTAGCATAATTTTTTTTACTGATTTAATTTAGTATATGATAAATATTTAATGGGGTGTGTAGTATATGTGGTCTACTCAATATAATGGCCCCTCACTATTTAAGTGCATCATACATTAGTGGGTTCTCCTCGCTTAAATGTCTAGTTGGTCTAGTTGGTATGGACGTATAATGCCCTCTCAATCTCTTATATGAACCAAGTTTAAATTAATTGATTGGTGATATTTTATATAGGACAAGTTTTGCATACCCAAAATATAATTTCTTCTTACGGAGATACAATAAGAGAATGTTAAAATTAGCAGCATTTTTAATTTCGTGATTTTGAGTTTTTTTTTTTTCACTTTTATACGAAGTCTATTAATAAACCTCTTGAGCTAAAATCATATAAATCAGAGCACATACAGTAGAACAGAAACTATTGTATGTGTTAAGAATGGACAAAGTATTACCTTTCCCTCTGTGTAAGGATAAATTATGACAAAAAGACATAAGTTCCTCCAGAAACCGATAACTTCTGACCAAATTTGTAAGCAAGTTCATAAATGAGATCCATTATTAATGCCATAAAGTTTAGTTGTTGTGCCTCAACATTTTAATTAATTCAAAAAGGCTGCTTCTGTAGCAATATAGCCTAAGTTAATACTTTCCTCTGTTTCATAAAAAATGTCATTTTAGAGTTATATTTTTGTTTTAGAGTTTTATTTTTGTTTCATAAAGAATGTC